AAATATGAAATGAAAGATTAAGAAAATGTCAGGAAGCATACTTTGTAAATCAAAAACTGTTAAAATAAAAACTATTCTCAAAAGATATAAAAATTGACCAGTGTGTTACACAGTTGCAGGCAGAAACAATGGGACAACTCAGAGACAAAGATATAAATCAAACTGGAGAATATTTGAAAGAAACAGATATGCGTAATATATTTTCAAGTAAATGATGTCCGGAGAATAATAACAAATCAAGAATTAGAAAGTGTAATAAAGGGGTAAGACAAAATATGATTTATTAAGACTCAAAGAGTCAAATAGTTGAGCCATATTCAAAGGAAGCAGATGAATAGACTACCAAGAAGATCGTGTCATGGACGGCTACAGGTGGGCGCAAAAAAAGGAAGACCGAGAACTAGGTTGATGGACGACGGGTACCAAGATCGTCCGGTGTTGCACAAGGGAGAATGGAGAAATAATAGTGAATGACAGTAAGAAGTGGAATGATTTAGTTGTGAAAGTCAAGATCCACAAACGATTGTAGTGCTAATCGAAGAAGAATAGATCTAGAAAAGAAAGACAAATGTATTATCTCCTAAATCCCCTTATTTACTGCTTAGATTCTATATATTTTCATGGCCAGTATAGAAATACTTGTTCTTCCTCGTGATTCCACTATTCACTTTCAATCGACAACTTCCATTAGATTTTAATAATGGCTTTACTTAAAAATTGTTCAAAACTTCTACTTCGCGTGTTTTACAATAGTTACAAGCACAAAGAAATTTAAAAATATATTTAAAGAAACATATACTTTTGGGTTTTTGCAGAACGATGCGACTACGAAATTGTAAAGGCGGCGAAGTATTCCTATTAGATTCGCCGCCACCGATGGGCTAGAGCCCGCTTTACCGGAAAACCACGGTCGTCTAATGTAGGCATTTAAATACCGGCAGCTGCGCTACTGGGAGGATGATCCCAATTAATGTGACTTTTACGTGGGAGATTGTAAAGTGTTTATTTGACTCCTATGCCAATTCCCTTTGGACGCGTCCATATTCCATTTTTTAAACATTTTACTTTGTTTTTTAAATATTTTGGTTCTGCACTGGCCCAATGCAAACTGGTCTTAAAATAATTTGACTTGGGCGCTAATGATCCTAGATGTCAAAGTGCCCTTAAACCCTAATAATAATAATAATAATAATAATAATAATAATAATAATAATAATAATAATAATA